TTTTACACAATTGTATAACTGTGTAAAAGAAATAATATAATACTAAATATTTCTGCTGCTTAAATATTATTGATATCACTGATCAATTTTGCACTCTAAAATATTGTTATTTCAGGCTATAAAAAACCAGATTAAATGTATTTCGTTTCGTGTATTTTTCGATATGCATATTCCTGATTGCCGTCATTCACGGCCAAAGATTTTCGTAGTTAGAAATATGACCCCTTACTATTCAATAAATTATACATTTGAGCTATTCACACTTGAACACAATTTCATTGTTTTGTGTATCGTTAAAGTAATATTTTTGTATTTTCTGAAAAAAAAACGTATACCTAAAAGGTCATAAAACTGCCTGTGATACGAGAAAGCATTAGCTTCTTTCCGAAAAGCAAAAAGTCTGCACGAGTTAACAGATTTAATACCAGTTTAGGAAAGTCAGTAATGACGAAATCTCTGGCACAACTCCGCCCATTCACTCTGAGGGAGAAGTTGTATCGGAGTGATAACTCCGGAGTGAGTTACCCATCTCTAGTACATACATATAAATTGGTCGCGGTTGGGAGTCCGGATAATCGCAAATCTGTATAATCGAGGTCTTGGTTCGACTAGGTTTGACTGTGTGTCAATTGTAATTATCAATTTATCAATTTATTTATTTAATAATAAATTTTAAATATTTTCGGATTGGTCTTCGAATTAACACATTGTGTTGAAGTACCAACACTTTAAATTCAATAAAATTATTAAACATTTAAAGAAGCTAATGTCAATAATTTAGTTATTGAGACAAATGCATCTTCAAAATTTAAAGCATCTCAGTTTTTTTTTTGTTAATTGTAGTAAAAACTTTGAGTAATATTTTTTAAACTGTGTTACAGTAGTCTCAAAATAAAAAAGAGTGCGCGTAAGGTTCACATGCGATTGAAGTAAAACTTTTTTGCTATTGTACGAGATGGCATTTAAGTTAAAAATAAATACATCATATAACAATTTTGAATAATGTTTATTAGTAATATGGTAACACTCGTGATGCACACATTTATTAGTGCCGACCATTATACACATTTATATAATAATAAATTAAAAATTATATATTTACAATAGCATTAAAAATATTTATATATTTGAAAACAGTAATGTAATTAAAGCTATACTCTAAATACGACATGATTGGTTTGTCAATATAATTAGCATTTACGACTTAAATCTTCATTAGAGAAATGAAGTAATAGCTAATTAATAAATTCTATATTTGTTCACACAGTGGATTATGAAAACAACGTTTAAAGAATTATTGTTTTAACAATTTTACTCATCATGTCATATTGTGTTTGAAGAACTTCATGTAATTAATATTAACATACATTCATTGATTGGTTGTATTTTTTTTTTTACTTTTTTCCTGACGATATAATCTCATTATTTGAGCAGCTATGAAATCTGCCTTGCATGAAATATTTTTCATTTTAATAACTTCAAAGATTTATAGAAGCTATGATCTATATAGAAATTATTTCGATAAACCTATATTTAGTACACGGCACAATGTTTTATTTATTTTATTATTTTCATTAAATTATTTACGGGAAACAGGAAAAAATTCTTTGATTCGCGAATGTTTTATTAAATCAAGATTTGTACTACGATGTAACCTTAAAATGTTTATTTTTATCTATGCCAATCTCCTTGTTGATATCGGTACCATAGATAAATAAGCATAAAATGGCGCATATAACGTTGATGCCGGTACGCATACAACGTCAGATCTCTATTCACACGACACAACGGCTATTTCATCGAGAGCGAATAACGTACAGTTCGGGCGCAATTTCCGTTGCAATCTCACAGTTTTACACTCTAGTCGCGCCTAAAGAAGTTTTACTTCAAAAATTGTTTTGTAAAAATTGCTGCAGATCTGCTTTCATTTCGACTTTCAACTCAATTTCCTGATAAATGTTTTCTATATTTATTTATTTTTACACGATTAATTAATTTAGATATTGTACTCTCTCCCAGCTTACAATAGAGCTCGAGGAGCACAAATAAAGCAATACATTCTCTTTTTATCTTTATAAAAACTATATAGTAAGATTTTATTTATTTTGTACCACTCTTAATTCTCCATTAAATTCAAGAAAAGCGAATATAAATTGGCTATATAAATTAAAACACTACAAAATCAATGACCTCTAGACAATTTCTTAATGTAAATCAGGAAATCAAATACATATATGTAAATTAAAAAATCATTGAATATAATGATAGTGGAAATATTTCTTTTATATCGTTTTTATAAGAAAAATTTAAATGAAATATAATATATTAATATCATATTGGGTTGTTGGAATATTCATAATTTATACTTTTATGTAGTATATATTGGAAAATACTGATTGGCCACATCCGGTCATAAATTATATTATTATTTCAATTATGGACTTTGTTATTTAACTTGCTAAAAGCTGTTGATTTTAATTATCTCCTTTAGATGTGTAGCCTGCATAGTAGACTTAGCATGAAATCATAAATAGTGCTATTTGTTTAATGTTTTATAGTTACAAAAGTTTTTTATGTAGTTGCAGATGGTCAATCATGGGTCCAGCTGAAGAGGGAAGTACTCGTTTAATGAAATGAGACGCCAACTTGATATGTATAAAGAGGAAATTTTTAAGATTGAAACGGCACGTGAAGACTTAAAATTAAAATCGGAAGAACAAGAAAAAAATATCAATTTATAAAAATAAGATAGAGAACTCCAAGTAAGATATTATATATATATATATATTATATATATCTATTTATATATACTATATATAATATATACTATACTAGCTGTACCCGTTCACGCTTTGCCGTGATTTACTTTAAATTAAAAGTTGAACAAAGATGTGTATTTGTTACATTTAGTTTTACGTTACTACTATTGGTTCAACAATTTGTCTACGAATTTACCTATAAACTTGTTAATCAATCTACCATTTTACCGACTTACCAATTTACCTGTCAACCTATTTACCTATCACCCGTTTCACATGTCTACCATTTACCTGTCAACCTGTTTATCCGTCTTGTTAATTGTCTATCTACCAGTTGTCCTGTCTACCATTTATATATCCTTCAATTTACCTGAATACCAGCTATTCAACAAATTACCTTTTCACCAATTTACTTGTCTACCAATTCACCTGTCTATCAATTTACCTGTCTACCAATTTACCTATCGACCTGTTTGTCAATACACTATTTCACCTGTCAGTCAATTTACCTGTCATCTTGTTATAAATGTTTACCAATAACCTGTTCAATAAGTTACCTGTTGAACAATTTGTCTACTACCTATCAACCTGTTTATCCAATCTACCATTTTACCGGCCTACAATTTTACCTGTCATCTCGTTCTACATGACTATCAATTAACCTGTCAACCTGTTTATTTGTCTACATGTTCGCTATTTACCAGTTCTCCTCTCTATTATTTTCATATCCTCCAATTTACCTGTCCACCAGTTTGCCTTCTTAAATTCTCTAATTCACCTTATTTATTTACGCATTATAAAAAAATTAAAGCTCAAATTGATTCTACTCTTTAGTTAAAAACGTTTGTATGTGAAAAAGAAAAAGTGTTTAAAGCTGTTTATAGGGTTTTCCCGGTAATTATTCGATTTTTGCTCGCTGTAAGAACCATCCTTGAACTTCAACGAACATATTAAAAAAAGAATTGGCCAAATTGGTCCAGGCGTTGTCGAGTTATGCGCTTACCAACACATTTTTCGATTTATATTTATATATATATATAGATATATATATATATATATATATTATATATTATATTAGATGGTCCTTATAGGGACATTTCTGAATTTTCTTGCTCCCAGGGGCTCAATGCTTCCAAATTGATAAAAAAAATTCTTTAGAAGTTTTAGCTCTTAATATTCACTTTTAGATAGAGTGCAATTTCTGTTCTGCAAAGTTTCGAATGGAATTAGCATGGAAAAAATTACAAAGTTTTTAAAAATGTTTTTATATATAACTTGTATAATAGCTTTAATTATAATCACTTGATTATTACATTGCTTACTTTAGGGAGGAGCAATGGAAATTTGTCGTCTTAAAGATGAGGTGGATGCATTAAGAGAAACTAATGCATTGCTCAAATCATATGAATCCACTGTTCAATCATACAAAAAGAAATTAGAAGATCATGGTGATTTGCGACGTCAATTAAAAATTCTTGAAGATAAAAATCTGGAATATATGCAGCAAAACATAGAATTAGAAGAAACAGCCAAGAAACAAATGGCATTAAAAACTCAAATTGAAGTTTATAAAAAACAGGTATGATTGAATTAAATTTTCGTCGTATATATATATATATATATATATATATATATATATATATATCTTATATATAAAATTCTTCTGTAACAATGTAAGTTTCATTAATCCTCCTAAACTATAATTCGGATTTTCATGAATCTTCCTGAAGTTTGTTTGGGAAATTTTTCAGAATGTTTTGATCCATAGAAATATAGTTAGATTGTAGAAATAAATGGAAAAAAATATAAAAAACCGCTTATCATTGTTTGCCCTTGAAAATATTTAAGGCATAGTTTGACATTAAAAACAAAAGACGACGGCCAAACGCACGATAGGCAAGGCATATAAAATATAATAAATTCATGATTAAAAATAGAAAATGTAATGTCTACATTATTAATGCCGAAGAGCAGCTGAGATGTGCCAAAAATTAAATTAATATAAGATGCAAATAATATAACTGCGATTGCTTTTGCTTGCAATAATTTTGTTTGCGCACTTTGCGAACAGATTCGCCGAACGAATTCGTGCAAAGAAGACGAGCCATAAGTGATTGCGCTCAAAAATATTCAATTTGCGGTCGTTTTGCCTTACTATACTAAGTCACGATACAAAAAAATTACTTATTCAAAAAATTATTTAGAAGTTTCATTGTGTCAAAAATTCATATGGTTGGCATTTTGTACGGCTGCTTTATGGCTTTCTCGGCATTTATTCGATTTTTTTCTCGCCATCGTAGGAACCATCCTTGGACTTCAACGAACATTTTAAAAAAAGAATTAGCCAAATTGGTCCAGGCGTTGTTGAGTTTATGCGCTTACCAACACATTTTGCGATTCATTATTATATATATATATATATATATATATATATATATATATATATATACAGTAAACCCTCGCTTTACGCGGCAAGTGCGTACCGTGCAGTATGGGGACGTGCTATAAAAAACTCGTATTTAACATACAATTCAGGCTAACTCATAGTGTGTTTTATGAAACCTTACATAGTGCAGTATGAGAACCGTGCTATGAGAGGTTGGTACAAATCGCATCATTTTTATCGTGCTGTATGGAGACCAAGAAATACAACTTGAAGTAGGAGAATTAGGACGAAATGACATGTATGACATTGACACCTTATTCAAAAATTGGCGCGACGCAGTAGTCAGCTCAAACGTGTTCTTAGGCGGTGTTATATAATCAGGCATGTCTAAAAGATAAAAGTCGATAACAAAACTTACATTAATACCCCTTTGATATCAAGTTACTAGAATCACTCATAGGTTGCGCAAGGAACTTATGGGCTGTTGAACAAAAACCGTGTAATAGGCAGTCCGTGTAGTCGGAGGGATGTCGGATTTTTAGCTCCTGTAGTTAGGAATCGTGTACCCAGAGTGCCGTGTAAAGCGATGGAAACAATACAACAAATATAAATATAAAAGATATAAATATTCGCATGTATATGTTTCAGTTGGCACATGCTAACGAAAAGCTGGAGACAGAAATTTCGAAGTCCGATCGGTTAGAATTTGAAATTGTTGGTTTGAATACGAAAATTAGTGTACTTCAAAGAGAAAAGGAAACTTTACTATCTGAACGAGACTTGCTGAAAGAAACTTGCGAAGAACTTCAGTATGGTCCATGTGTTAAAACCGGTATGACTTTACTAACCATGAATATGTAATTATTATAATATTGTACAACAAAGGAACAAAGCATTAGTATCAAAAATGTCATTATCATAATGTAACGAATTACAACATAATAATAATGGTGTTCGAACAGATTTGTGCTGCTTGCTTTGCTCAATATCTATTTGCGGATTTTTGAAGATTGTGAATATTTTAATAATGTATAATATGAATTAGAGGTATTTCTTCGCCTAAAAATAGCAATTACTTTATTTATTCTATATATATATATATATATATATATATATATATATATATATATATATATATATGTAGATGCGCTAGCGGATACAGTTTCCAAGGAGCTTATATCTCCAGCCACTAAAAGATTGATGGAAACGGATAATAAAATTTCAAAAGAAGAAGGCGACCATGCAGCTATGCAGGTATTTGTTTTATATTTTCTTGTTCCTAAATCTTTTTTAATTAGGAGCATTACTAGGTTTTGCTGGATGAATCTAATGTAAGAATAGATCATTTGAGATGCCAGCTTCGAGAGGCAAACCAGAAAATCCTCGAGTTGCAAAGCTTAGTTCAAGGAAATCAACTTGAGGTGGATGTGAAGTTGAAACAGTCGGATGAACTTGATAAAGACAAAAGTATTTAGTTACAACTGGTTTATTCAATTGCCAATTGTTTAATTACATCTTTCATTCAGGTCAGCGCTTGGAAGAATCTTTTTCACAAATTGTTGCATATCGTCAAAAGATCACAACATTGCAAGAAACTCTGTCTCAGAAAGACGCCGAGATATCAGCAGCTGATGAAAAATACCGGCGGTGCATAGAAAAGGCTAAGCAAGTGATTAGAAGTATAGATCCTAAATATGGTAACATATTTCTATGTGTTATTACATTGTGTTAAAATTTTGTTGCTATAATAATTTATGACTAATTTTAGGTAATTATTTAGGTGCAAATGCAAATACTGCTAAAATGTCGTCGATTGAAATGGAAACTAGAATCATAGTATCAGCATTTCATCGATTGGGATTAGTTTGTCACAGAGAAGTATTGGATCAGAGATTTGCACAAATTAGTCAGAGTCAGAGCTTTCTATCTAGGCAACGCCAACCTATATGCCGCAAATCTATTGAAAATTACAGAAATAAATAAGAATTACATGGTCTTAGCATGGAAAGGCTTATATCATAGTTGTATTTGTTTAAATATGTTTTTTGTTTTTGTTACAATAACCTCATATTCCTTTCAATTTTAATTTGAATATATTTTGTTGTAGTAAATTGACAATTCCTTTAATTTTGCAGACATCACTCTTGTTTCATATAATATTATGAATAATCTTACTTTTTGAACTGTATATTTGCTTGACAAAAATTGAGTAAAAGATTTTTGCGATTTAAAATTTTCAGTAAAATATTTTTGCAATTTTTGTTGCAATGGCAACCGCACTGAACTGAAAACTGAATTCCATGTCTGTAATATTTTTTATTTTGCAACTTAGCCAAACCTAAACTACCCTTTGCACTAGCTACAATTTTATCATCAAGCGTGAATTTCCTTCCATTCAATAGTTTAGTATCTTCTCTTGTTCAATGTCAGCGGGAGATCAGCATGTTTCAAACTTGCTTGTGATTTCTTTCTTAATGTTTTTCCAAGCTTATTTGGCTCATATCAATACTTGTGTTTAGTAAAACCCGTTTTATAACTACTTTCAAGAGAAAAACTGCTGATAAAAATCAATGTTAAATTATTTATTATAAACCTTTATTATTAGTGCAAAAATAATTCTTAAAAACTTACCTTTCAGTGAGTTGGTTAGTCTGACGGCAATTTTATTTTTCAATATTTATAACCTTAAAATTCCTAGCATTGTTAAATGTCTCAGTTATTATGCTATAATAAAAACTTGTATCTGACTAATAGTACTAATTGATGCAAGTATTTTGAAGTATGCATATTGATAAAAATACTTACTTATTGTTAAAGGCCTGTAAATATTATTAATCATTTTACATACTACATCGATTCTAGTTGGAAATGCACAACTATTGCGTTTTTCTTGGTATTTCTGCATTGTTAAACTCTGCAATTCGATATAATAATTAATTATACCTATAAAATTATTTTATAGGTTTAACAAGCGTTTATTATATCGTTGAATTTTGACACTAATCACCAAATCACTGACAAGAAATTTCGTTCAATGGCGCATTTTGAATTATTTCTTGAAAATTCGATATTTACGAAAACAAGCGCTACTAGCGAGAGCAGCTTTAACTAGAAATACAAACATTTGTTCGGAGATTACCGGCCATGACCCCATATTCATAGTTTGTCGAAATTTAAATTTAAAATTGGCGCTTTTTGTGGCGCTACTGTTCATTGATCGATAACTCTGAGGTTGCGCATCTGTATATACATCTATTGCATCCATGAGCGACCTGTTAGAATTTGTTGAAAGCGTTTTAGTTCTTTTTATTTTGAGACTCCAATGGAAACACATGGCAAAAAGAAAGACCCCTTCAAGAAGTGAGTATTTTAGGATTTGTGGTGCAAGAAATATTTCGTATTCAGTGACTCCTAAAGTAACATACGGTTTGTGCAAGTGCAAACTTAGTTTCAGTTGTCAACGCGTTCCTTGGCATCGTACAAAAGTTCTTGTTTGAAAATGGAAAAATGGAGTGCCCTTTAGCAGTCACAAGCAGCTAATCGAATGACATTTGAAAGGTATGATAAGAGGCATTCAGTGTACACTTTTATTATATTGCTGGTGGATTTTCGTTGTCGATTTCTCTAAATTATTGACGTCTTCATTAACAATGAGTTTAATCGGCCATTAATATTACAATTGTAGTAGTTCACTTTTGTTGTATTGATTGAGCAGTGATTATCATAAATATATGAAATATTTGTACACAATCAAATAAGTCATATGTCGATTATTGATTTTGGTACATAGATTTTGTATGTTTTTAGCGGCCGTAAAATTTTCAGTAAAATATATTTCCTAGCTGTATTTCACGTCGTGTGTTATGGCGGTTACTATAGGAATAATGGTTACCTAGCAACCGTTGCTTTTGGCAAAGAATAATTAATAGCCATATACAAATTTTAAATCAGTTATAAACATTTAATTACTATTGATTAAACACATTATTTATGTTGCATATTTCTTTTTTTTAATTGAAAATAGTTACCTCTAACATTTTAATTCAAAATTGTGACTGTTTCCCTGGTAGTATAAATGGATTTGGTACGAAAAATATTAAATTCCATACAAAAATCTCGTCAAAATCGTTTTGATGTATTAGGAGAACAGTCACATTTTTACATTTGACAGCACGTTTTTGTTGCTGCAAGTTTCCGTTGCTATGCAACGGATTTTAAATCAATTATAAACATTTAATTACTATTAATTAAACACATTATTTATTTTGCATATTTCTTTCTTTTAATTGAAAATAGTTACCTCTAACATTCTAATTCAAAATTGTGACTGTTTCCCTGGTAGTATAAATGGATTTAGTACGAAAAATATTGAATTCCATACAAAACCTCGTCAAAATAGTTTTGATGTATTAGGAGAACACTCACATTTTTCCATTTGACAGCACGTTTTCAGCGACACAGGACCGTCTGTTGAAATTTTAGGGAAAAATATTTTGAACTTAAATAGTTGAATGAATTTTAAATAAAAAAGTTTAATTTATTATTTTGAGATATTTTAACAAGTTTTGGTAAAGGGATATTTATTTTAATTTTAAAGGTAATATTTATTTAAATTGAGCTATTACTGTAACCGTGCATAGTGTCACACAATTTATCTTGCATATTTACTACAATTATTATTTTTAACATTAAACCACCACTCCTTCTCCTCTTTTTTGCTGCTTTTTTCGCATTTTTTTCATTTTTGGTGTTATTTTTTATGCATATTGTGGATTTTGGGTACAGTTGCTGTACGATGCAATTGCTTCTGCCAGGACTCCCGTTCGCAACCATGCGTCGTCTCGTCTGGACGAGACTTTTCCATAAAAATTTTTGACCAAAAGTTTTTTTCCCAATATTTTTTGAACCAAAAATATTTTTCCCAAAATTTTTTTGACAAAAATTTTTTTGACCAAAAATTTTTTTGACCGAAATTTTTTTGACCAAAATTTTTTTGACCAAAAATTTATTTTCCTAAAATTTTTTGGACTAAAATTTTATTATCCGGACTACCGATAATCCGGACCTTCGATTTTCCGGACTTCCGATTATCCTTACTTCCGATTATTCTTACTTCCGATTATCCGGACTTCCGATAATCCGGACCTTCGATTTTCCGGACTTTCAATTATCCGGACTTCCGATAATCCGGACCTCCGATTATCCGTACTTTCGATTATCTGAACTTCCAATTATCCGGATCCTCGATTATCCGGACTTCCGATTATCCGGACCTTTAATTATCCGGACTTCCAATTACCCCTACTTCCGATTATCCGAACTTCCGATTATCCGGACCTTTGATCATCCGGACCTTTGATTATCCGGACTTCCGATAGTCCGGACCTTCGATTTTACGAACTTTTGATTATCCGGTCTTCCTATTTTACGAACTTTTGGTTATCCGGATTTCCGATTATCCGTCCTTCCGATTATCCGGACTTCCGATTATCCGGACCTTTGATTTTCTAGACTTCCGATTATCCGGACCTGCAATTTTCCGGACTTTCGATTATCCGTACTTCCGATTATTCGAACTTCCGATTATCCGGACCTTCCATTTTTCGGACTTCCGATTATCCGGACTTTCAATCATCCGGACTTTCAATCATCCGGACTTTCGATTATCCGGACTTCCAAATGTCCAGACTTCCGATTATCCGGACTTCCGATAATACGGACTTCTGATAATCCGGACCTTCGATTATCCGGACTTCCGATTATCTGGACCTTTGATTATCCGGAATTCCGATTATCTGGACCTTTGATTATCCGGAATTCCGATTATCCGGACTTTCGATAATCCGGACCTTCGATGTTCGGGACTTTCGATCATCTGGACCTTCAATTATCCGGACTTCCAATTATTCGTACTTCCGATTATCCGGACCTTTGATTATCCGGACTTCCGATAATCCGGACTTCCGATAATCCGGACCTTCGATTATCCGGACCTTCGATTATCCGGACCTCCGATAATCCGGACCTTCAACTTTCCGGACTTCCGATTATCCGGATTTTACAATTTTCGTATGTAACCGTCGCCATGGTAACAGTTTCCATGTAACCAAAATTTTTGGTCAAAAAAATTTTGGTCCGGACTCCGCATTATTGAATTATTCTTTAATCATCATGAATTGCTTTTAGAGCATTCCTTACGTCGTTGTCAATAACGTCATCATTTGGAGTAAACACATCTGATAAATAAATTGCTTTGTAATATGAGCGCCATTTTAATTCAAAATTGTGACTGTTCTCCTGGTAGAATGGATTTAGTACGAAAAATATTCAACTCATTTATTCTACCAGGAGAACAGTCAGTAATTTTCGATGCCTAGTAACCGTAAAATTGTGACTGTTCTCTTGGTAGAATGGATTTCAAATCAAGTATAAAATATGGCAGAGATCAAATTACTCTTAAACTATTCCTACTGCATATGTTATTAGTCTTTTGACTATTTTCCTATCATATATGCAATATGTATTATTTTGTTATTATTATTGTACATATGTTTTTTAGTGATAATTTTTACCATGATTAAAAATTTATTTATAAGTTTTTTACTTTTTTATTAGTTAGTATTAAATATAAGTTTATGTATTTATATCTTAGATAGTTTTACATGATTATATATATTGTATAGAAATATGTATGTATTGTATTGTATAGAAATATAAAGGAAATAAATAAATCTTTAAAAAGAAAACTTGGTAAATTATTTATTGTAATTTATAATACTAATTATAAAATATTTAATTAATCAAAACTAAATAATTATAAATTTAATAAATTAATATATGTGTAATGTATTATAACTTTGTACCTGCTTATGATAATAAATAATATGGAATTAACTTATTTTTAAATATTTGATGATTAAATGTGGTATTTTTTACAGTTTAATCAATTTAAGTTTTTTTATTTTATTTACAAATAAATTTCAGACTCAGTAAAATATGTTGAAAAA